CTTTTTTTATTTTAGATTTCAGTGTTTCCCAAAACACATTCCATGAGAAGGAAAACAACCAATTTTGAAGAAAGTTTCAGCTTTGTTAAAAAGCTATGGAATATCAAGCAGTTAAATAACACCAGTGCCTTTCCTTATCAACAAACAAACCAGTTATGGTGAGTCTTGAACTATATCTAAACGTATCTAATGAGTATATATCAAAAAAAAAAAAATCTTGTCTACCTGAAATCTTCAAACTCATTCTTTCCCCACTTTTCTGTTCCCTGTCTTTGTCTCTACCAGTGTTTTCAAATTACACAATTAAACTAAAGTGGAATTGTAAAGGAGGAAATGAGTTAACACTGCTAAATGATTTGAAGACCAGTTTATATTAGTGGTTTTGGAACAACTCATCTTTTTATAGTTTCTGAAATAAAGGTTATAATAGTTTGTGTCTTGTTTTAGGCATATAGTGCTTAAATGACAGGTAAATAAAAAAACTTCCATGTTCTTAGACAACAATGAGGACCTGTGAGAGGGCTGATGCCACTAACTATCTTGCTTATCAATATTTTTAAGGGCTAGTAAAATCACAGCTGAAGTGTACTTCTCCCTCTTCCACCTAAACAAGCATTACTGAAAACTCCTGGCATTTTAAATCATTATTATTATTTTAAACAGAATCTTGCTCTATCACCCACGCTGGAGTGCAGTGGCACAATCCCGGCTCACTGCAACCTCTGCCTTCTGGGTTCAGCAATTCTCTGCCTCATCCTCCCAAGTAGCTGGGACTATAGGTGCAGGCTGCCACATCTGGCTAATTTTTTGTATTTTAATAGAGAAGGGGTTTCACCGTGTTGCCCAGGCTGTTCTCAAACTCCTGAGCTCAGGCAATCCACCTGCCTCGGCCTCCCAAAGTGCTGGGATTACAGGCGTGAGCCACTGCACCCGGCCTAAATCATCATTTTTTAAAATACTCAGTAATCACCATGAAGACTCTGTTTCTAAAATGGAAAATGATGGAACAAAATACAATACTGAAAATAAGAGAAAACAAGTCTGAATAAGGCTGATCACACTGGTTGGCCTGAGGCATATGGATAGACTTAACAGTATTTTCCTTTCTTTGGCTGACTTTATACAGTTAGTCAACCTTAGTTCGTAGTCAAAAATCAGTTTACTAGCCATGTAAGGGTAAGATCACTGTAATATATTGCATATGAGAAAAGTTAGTATTTTGAGTGTCAAGCAATTTGTACACTAAGTGCAAACTTTATATATAACAAATTTAAGTTAGTAAAAAGCACCTACACAATTACATATTAACTGTGTATACACACATTTTTCAACACAGATATGCAGGATTTACAGAAGGCCCAAGAATATACTTCAGCCCAAAGCATATGACCACAGAGACGTCCCTTTCCACTCTGGCCATATAGGTTTAATTTCTTCTTTCCATCCCATTCCAGACCCCTCCAACTATCTAGAATCCTTTATCTACCAACAAAGACGCAATCTCCTACTTTATTCTAGCACTAATGCAAGGCAAAGGGGCTTAGGGAGCAGGTTACGTAGTGAGATAGGGGGTAAAAAAAATCCCTTTACCCTTACTCTTTAGTAACTCTCATATCTACACAAATCCCATCCCATCACCCCAATCTCACCTGAAGCCTTCTCATTGGCCTCATTTACAGTGTTTGCCCTAGTTTCTATGTTCAAAAAACTAAGGAAGCTGGTTCTTCATTAATGGTAGCTAAAAGTAGCTAAAAGCAAACCTAGATTTTTCTCCTGAAATACAGATAAATTATGTAGTTTATGTACGTGGAAGTGTTACATATTCTTTAAGTGAAAAGAACCTATTACTCACTTAAGATTTCTGGAAATTTTGTTCTTTTTCCTATGACTATTACTTAACCTGTTAGCTGGGTTCACCATTGTTAGCAGTTATAACTTTAAAGGATTATGTGCTTGCTTCTAAAATACATAGGCGAAGGTAGCTTCCCTAAGTAAGAAGGAGCAGAAGGCAAGGAGAGCACAATAAACCATGTGGCATTCTGATCTGCTACTTTGCCTTATCATGATCCTCTCCTCTCATATCTTGAATTTCCATTTACATCTACAAATGTGTTTCTTTACTAACTTCTTCCTCTTACATTGCAAAAATAGGTGTTTACCAAGGGTTTTTACTTAGTCATCTTCCCTCTCCAAAACAATCCACTTACCTGAAGGGTTGGTCTAATCTTATAACTTGAATTGTCCCCTCTTACTTTGCTGTCTTTTGCTTATTTATTTCCAAGAGGCTTCTGATGATTCCTTTTTGGTTGTCAAACTTGCAACTCTAATTTTAAAATCTAAGTTTCAATAAATTATTGTTTCTCAAATCAAAAGCAACTCATCATGTACGGTTCTCCACCTCTCAACTAAGGCCCACAGTTAATCATCAACCAGTTTTTTTTTTCTTTTTTTCTTTCTTTTTTTGTCAAATGGTTCTGTAGTTCTCCCTCACTACAGTTCATTGTACAGACTCCTATTATACGAAGCACGCCAAGGCATAATTCTTTACCCAAAAATACAAATTGAAGATTGCAGGTCTTCCATCATCTGTCTGACCTGGCTTATGACTTACTCTTCTACTCTGAATTCTCACCATTCTCCTTCACCTACCTGGTACTCTCCAAAGTTCTACTGAACCACTCAAAGCTTTCCATCATGTCATGTTTATATTACCTCTGTATCCCCAAGTATTTAGCATAGTTCCTCACACTAGTAAAACAGAGAAGAAAAGAAAATTTGGATCATTAATAACAGGAGATGAAGTGAAAGGGAGTTAAAAACGTGGATCCATGAGGCCATCAGAATATAAAAAGGTAATACCCATTGAATAACAGTTCAGGTTTTCACACTCCAGGTTATCAGTTCTCCTTTATACAACTCTGTCAAAGAGTTAAAACATCTGAGAGCAGTGGCTCTGAATGGGCATTGCTCCATAACTGAGAATATCGCAGGTGGTTTCTGGTTAGCTCAGTTACTGGGAAATGACACTGGCAGTGTGTGGGCAAGGGCCAAAACTGCTTTATGTTTTGGAATAAAAGGGACAGTCACATTAAAAAAAAATATCCTGGCTGGGAGTGGTGGCTCATGCCTGTAATCCCAGCACTGTGGGAGGCCAAGGCAGGTGGATCACGAGATCAGGAGATTGAGACCATCCTAACCAACATAGTGAAACCCTGTCTCTACTAAAATACAAAAAATTTGCCAGGTGTGGTGGCACACACCTGTAGGCCCAGCTACTTGGGAGGCTGAGGCAGGGTAATCGCTTGAATCCAGGAGGTAGAGGATGCAGTGAGCTGAGATTGTGCCACTGCACTCCAGCCTGGTGACAGAGTGAGACACTGTCTCACAAACAAAACAAAGCAAAACAAAACAGTCCTTCATTTGTTACAACTTTGAAATGTCCTGAACAACTTTCATGCTGGCAAAACCCCTGCTTATACTCATCAAGCTTAGAGAGTAACTTCATTTTGAATATAAAGAAAAAATAACTTTTTGCAGTTTTGCTATACAATCTTTTATAAACATGCCTTATACACTGATTGTACTTTGTTTTGTTTGGGACTTTACTAAGAGCTAGTCATCATTTTGAAAAAAAAAATTCTATCACAGAAAACAACATTGCCCGTAGTGTTCAAATCATTCATATTCACATATGTATCAATCTCATTTATAACTCTTTCTTTTTCTAGATTAATACATTCCCTCTCAGAAAATAAATTCTCCACCTGAATGGTAAAGCCTGTTATGGTGAAAATAATACTGAACTTAAGGCAGTAAATTTGTCATTGAGCCCCCATTTGCCCACGTATAAAATGGTTATGTGCTTTGCTTACGTTAGAGTCATTATGGGAATCAAATTGATAAAATGAACAGGAAGTATGTTATAAAATATTAAGTCCTATATGCATTTTACAAGGGAAACAAACCATTAACAATAATGCTGACTAGAAATGAAACAGAAAAAAAGATCATAAAAAGATTCTACCTCCAGTGCCAGTGTGTTGGCTCACACTTGTAATTCCAGCACTTTGGGAGGTCAAGGTGGACACATCACCTGAGATCAGGAGTTCGAAACCAGCCTGACCAACATGGTGAAACCCCGTCTCTAGTAAAAATACAAAAATTAGCTGGGTGTCATGGCATCTGCCTGTAATCCCAGCTACTAGGGAGACTGAGGGAGAAAAATCGCTTGAACCCGAGAGGCAGAGATTGCAGTGAGCTGAGATCGCACCATTGCACTTCAGCCCGGGCAACAAGAGCAAAACTCCATCTCAAAAAAAAAAAAAAATTCTACCTCCACTATGTTCAACAAATTACAGTGTAAAAACTTAACAACATACAGGATTAGTAATATGTTAATACTTAATAAGATCAAACTCTAAACCTATGCTGTCCAATACTGTAGTCACACATATGCTGAAGTGTAAAATACATGCTGGATTTAAAGAACTTATTACAGGCCAGGTGCAGTGGGGTTCACACCTGTAATTCCAGCACTTTGGGAGGCTGAGGCAGGCAAGATTGCTTGAGCTCAAGAGTTCAAGAGCAGCTTGGTGAAACCATGTCTCTACAAAAAAATACAAAATTAGCCAGCTATAGTGGCTTGTGCCTGTTGTCCCAGATACTCAGGAGTCTGAGGCAGGAGAATTGCTTGAGCCCGGGGAGGCTGAGGCTGCAGTGAGCTGAGATCACACCACCGTACTCCAGCCTGGGCAACAGAGCAATAACCTGTCTCAAAAAACAAACACAAAAATAAAAATAGGGAACTTAGTACAAAATTAAAGTATATTATTAGAAATAATTTATTTTTTGAAAATGGCCAATAAAAAATGCAAAATTACATTTTTTGCTTGCATTAATTTCTGACAGACATTCTGCTGTAAATAAACAATGCAATAACAATATTGATAAACACAAACGTTACTGATCTTCAGCTAAGACAATAAAGAATGTACACTCACTTCATCAGTGAGTTCTCCAAATACTGTTATGACATCTATCAAAAGACTTGCAGTATAGAAGGACTTGATCATGTTTCTGGAAGAGAAAAGAGAGTCAGTCTAGTTTAAATATGAAACACATTAAAATGTAGTTTTGTCATGTAGTTATAAGAAAAAAAAATTCCTATCTTTATAAAAGCACTCTGAAATTAATGTTTTAAAGAAAATCAGATTTCAAGAAAGTAACAAAAATCATTTTATAATCTGTTACTATGAGAAAGTAACAGGGCTCATATTATAAGTAAACGCGCCACGGCAAAACTTTTTGTATGTTTTTGATTTTAGAAAAATGTAATTATAGTATTATCTGACTCCATATGAAACCATAATGTATTTCTTTACATGCAAATATTATACTGAAAAATCATCTGAATTGACTGGGGTGGGTACCTTCAAAATCAAAATCAAAATCAAAATCATGAGGTGAGGCTGTGATTTTGCCTAAAATCAACTCAGATTTTACTAAATGTTAAAAAACAGCTAAGTAGAGTATATTTACTAAGTAAATAAATCTGCCCTGGGTATTTCTTCTTTCAGCCATTTTCTTTTATGAGAAAGGCCAGAATTTGTAACCTAAAATCACTGTGAGGTTCGATAATTTTTTCTAAAAAAACCTAAATCAATCAGCAGGTTAGAAAGTGTTCCAGAGAAAACTAGTTACTTTTGGTTATACAGTTACAAAATTAATAAAATAATTTTTATTTTTCTCTTTACTTACTTGTGAAATCGCCCAGCACGATCTTCATTGTCTGCATACAAAAACATTTTCAAAGCATAATTCTCCAAATGGGCACAACCCACTATTTCTTGAGTTAATAGCTTCATTATCACCCAACTGCTTCTTTAGCTAAAATAAATCAGATACATAGCTTATGATTTTGGACTCTTAGAAGTGTTGGCTTAATTACAAATAATTCTAATAATCATTTTAAAATTATTTTACATTCAATAAAAGATGTTATCAATGAAATTTGCAAAAAGAGTTGCTATGCCTCAGCCCAATGCTTTAAAACAAAATCCAATGCTTACAACTTGAAGAAACACACTTATGATAAACTGAAAATATAATTTAGCTCTAACATCAAAATAACCAAGCATAAAACGATAACATATCCAATTATCCATATGAAGGAAGCATCAAATACTTCAAAAGATGTTTTATTACACAAACATAAGTTATCCCAAAAAAATAGAATTAGAAAATAATTTCTAGGCATATAAACTTTAAAATTTCTTTATTCCCATTTCTTCTGTCAAATCAAAAAAAAAAAAAAAAAGACTAGAAGGTTCATCATGTCCTAAAATAGTATCTTTCGGCTGGCCCACAGCGACTCATGCCTGTAATCCCAGCACTTTGGGGGCCAAGGGGCGGTCACCAGGTCAGGAAATCGCACCATTCTGGCTAACTCGGAAGAAACCCTATCTCTACTAAAAATACAAAAAGAAATTAGCTGGGCATGGTGGCGGCAGCCTGTAGTCCCCAGCTACTCAGGAGGCCTGAGGCAGGAGAATGGCATGAACCCCGGGAAGAAGGAGCTTGCAGTGAGCCGAGATGTGCCACTGCACTCCCACCCCTGGGCAAATAAGCTACACTATGTCCCTTCAAATAAATAAATAAATAAATAAATAATAATATAATAATGTCTCTCAGAGCACATCATGTAAAAAACAAAAAAGATCTAATTCTAAGTAAGGTATAAGACAACAAACTCAGAATCAACTTATGGAAGCTTTTAAAATTTAGACAAATATATACCTGCAATCAATGCAACTTATATCTGTAAATTTTTAGCCCTTTTCTATAGACAAAATAATTTAAAGCATTAAAAAAAAGTTCCTAATTTTTACTCAGACTACAATACAGGAATAAAATAACTCCCTGGAGTATCAGATCTGAGCATCATAGTAGTTGATAAAAACCTGCTTTTTTTTAAAGTAAAAAATTAAAATTAAAAGAAGCCCCAGGACTTTTCATAAAATCAGCAAAGTAAATACTTTCATAATTAAACAGAATAACTTATGGTCCAGAAGAGATTTAACGCTGAAATTTAAGGCAATTTTATCTATGTTTATCCTGAACAAAACAGAAAAAAGAAAAAAAAATCCCCACAGATAACAGTAATTTATGTATCTAAACTGCAAAATCATTTGTAAAGGCAGATTTCGTTATAGAATAATTTTAGTGAGAGTAGGCCACTTCATCTCATCTTCATCAGAAAATATCTGACAGCAAAAACATAATATATTTGAAGTTTTAAAACTGTAATGCAAACATGATAGTGTGCCCTCACCATGGAATAAACTTACCCTACCTGTCATTTAATGTACGTAGTGATAAATTCCTGATGAGTCCCTTTATAAATGTGATTTTACACTTCAGAAATCTGTTTGAATTTTGTCTTATCCAAGAACTATTATCCGAGCTACTACTGCTATACAGTGAAGTTAATAAAGAGACATTATAATATACAAAATGCTAGAGTTGGATTTTACAAATATACTGCTATGTGTGAGAAACATTCTCCCTTCTACCCCAATCCATTCCCTAAAAAGAGAGTACTCAAATTTATCTTGTATCCACAGAAGCAGCTGTAGAAATGGAAGGCCAGATAGGCTCCAGGAACAGCTGAATTTCCTCAGTGTTGCCACGAGGCTGATTTTGGGTAGTTAACAGTAGCAGATGACAGGCGTCAATAAGCCAGAGAGCCACACCAAGTGAGAGAACACTACTGCCCATGGCTGCTTTATACAACTAGGTAGGAAGTTCTGTCTTCGCATAAGTCTTGTTTGAATGATAACCTCCTAAAAATACATAAAAATAATGAAAACAATGAAAAGCTCTGGGCTGAAAGTGTTTTCATTTTGGTTTTTGTCTAAATTTTCTCAAAGCAAAATAATACAACTGATAGAATAAATAGGTTTCTTATTCTCCTGAGGTTGGATATCTAAACAAGCAAATAAAAAGTAAGTCACGACTATTAATGTAACAGTCTTGGAGGAGATGAATTAATGAGTGTACCCTGACTTTGTTAGAAGAGAAATCAGGTATGGCTGAGTCCAGGAGTTACAGGTAGGCACTGTAGACCACTAAGGTTGGCACTGCCGTTTTTGTGCACTGATATCCAATCCAATAGGCACTTCTCAGTAAGTACCTCTACAGTGATCTGTGAAGTTATATTAGGTTCAAGAAGGTGACTAATTAGTCACCTACCACTTTCCTGCTAGGAGGGATGCCTAAACCCTAAGAATATTTTGCCCTGGGACCCCAGAGAGGGAGGAAGAAAAGATAAGTAATTGGCATAATTTCCTTCATTGTTCCTTTCACTAAATACACACCCTATTATTTCATTATTACAAGAAATATTAAGATTCCCAAATTAATCACCCATGTAACTGCAAGGGAAGGTTATTAAGGGTTTTTCACGGTTGGGCATGGTGGCCTGTAATCCCAGCACTTTGGGAGGCTGAGGTGAGTGTATAACTTGAGGTCAGGAGTGGGAGACCAGCCTGGTCAACAAGGTCAAACTCCGTCTCTACCAAAATATACAAAAAAACTAGCTGGGTGCGTTCAGTGTGTGCCTGTAGTCCTAGCTACCTGGGAGGCTGACGTAGGAGAATTGCTTGAACCTGGGAGGTGGAGGTTGCAGCAAGCTGAGAGATCACACCACTGCAACGCACTCCAGCCTGGGTGACAGAGTGAGACCCTGTCTCAATTTAAAAAAAAAAAAGAAAAGGTTTTTCACTTATAAAAGGATGAGCCAAAGCCTATCTATAATAATGTGGAACAAGATACGATGGCATATGCAAAGATATTTGAACATACTTTAATTAACACTCATAACTCCTCTGGAAGTATACAGCAAATAATTGAAAAAAAACTTATGTCTAGTTTTTCCTCAGGTATAATGGCATTGTTGATTGTTGCCAAGGGAAAGAACCAAAATGACAACACAGACACACAAATGAATAAAATGGTATTTTAACCATAACCAGAAAATAAATGATTAGCGTTCAACTTACAGCTTCTAACTGATCCATTAACTTTGATAAAAATTTGCGACATTCAGGAGTTTTACTATCGATCTTCATTCCAGTCTGCATTGCGTATAAACGACCTAGAAAGAAAAGATAATTTGAACAATTTCATTTTTAAAAATCCATGTTTACGAGTGTTTAAAATATAATTGCTAATAAATAATTTAAAATTCAAGTACATTTAGAAATAAAACTGATTTACTATGGAAGTTATAAACCTAAAAAGCACAAAAATATTATTCAAATAATGCAAGATATCCATAATGATAATTTTTTTTTTTTTAAATCAAGTAAGGCCTTCTCTTCTGGCATTATGTTAAAAAAAAAAAAAAAAAAAATGACGAGGTATGTCCTAAGCTGTCAAAGGCAACTATAATTTAATTGGTAGGACAAAGCACACAGCAAACAACCATATGTACAAGAGCACCTGCCAAATGCCAAATGAGTGATACTGACAAAATATACAAAATGGGCTGGGATAGTGGGAAATGAGACTTGAACTGCAGTTTATAGAAAGAATTGCTACAGTAATTTTACATATACTCTCTCTTTGAATAAATATACCTTCTCTTTAAAGAGTTAATAAAAACAACTGAGATAAGGCTAAACCTAAATAGCTGACACCACAATTTTTGTTGCCTTCCCAGTGATAAGAACTGTGAACAGTTCTGGTGGTAATTGCTGTCACCACTGATGTATACATACGATGTCTGTAATTTACCCCTTACATTCAACAATATGTCCTGGAGATCTGTGTCAGTGCTAATGTTCTACAGTATGAATGCATCAAGGTAACAAAAGCACATTCAGGCAGCTCTCAAAATTTCATTATAACTAATGTGCATAAATGCAACAACAAAATGCAACAAAATTTTTGAATGAAGACTAATGGTAAAACTCATGAATTGCAAAATACCTCCTTGTGCACAATGCAAGAGAGTTCCCAGGGGAACCAAGAGGTGAGATTCCTGGGTCATAGTCTCTGTGCCTTTTTCATTTTGAGACCTACTGTTAAGCTGCGCTCCCAAAACAAAAGTATCAATACACAGTTGTATCTGCAACATATACAAGCACTCATTTTGCCTAAACTCACAAAAAACTTATTAAACTTACATTCCTATCAACCTGAAGACTAAAAGCACTCTGTTTGATTTTATATTTTCTTTCCTAACCACTAAAAAACTATTAGGTATTTACTGAATAGTCCTATATTCTCATTTATGAATTAAGGACAGCTATCAAAATAAAATAATCTTCTGCGGAATTGGTTTGCTTTTAAACAAATTGACTTGTAGCAATTCCTTACACAGTATGAAGTAGAGATATAATGTTCCCCCACCAAATGAAATCTTCTACGTGTTTATTCTGTCTCTACCCTAACTAGAATTTACACTCCATGATGACAAGGATGTTAGTCTATTTGGTTTGCTGATGTATCCCTGGCATCTATGATAGAGGTTGGCCCTTGATAAACATTTTCTGAATAGATAAACACATGAATGAAAGAATAGCTCATTTTGTCCTACTGATTTAAATGTCATTTTTATCATTCATTATCATATATTAAGTTTCCATGGTATAATAGGGCCCAGCTCTGTATACTGCCTACCCTGCTGTGCTATTCTACGGGTCTATTGTTGTTTGATTTACTAGAGCTTTATAACAAAGCTGAATATCTGTAACTCTCAGAATTTCCAATACAATTATGTTTACATGTCAAAAATTCTCTTTAAAAGTTAATACATGCGTGAAACAGTTATCTATTTATCATATCTGTGTTTTTAATTTTAATGGTTTTATCCAGAGGAACTGCTTTTTAGTGCTTAGGCTTTGAGGGCGTCATATTACAGAGCTTGAAGTTTAATTTAATAATGTATTCATAACCACATATCAATTTTAAGGATTCGATCCATCTAGATATTAAGGAGAGAGAGAGAAAAAAACAGAGTTCCAAAAGTGTCACCGAGATTTACTGCTACCCAGTGTAGTGCATGTTGCTTTCAATGCACACTAACTAGCACTGGAGATCACTTTGACATACAAAGGGATTCTAATTTGATCTCAGATTAAATGTTATCTTCTCACAAGATAATATCTATAAATCTTAATATGCTCTTTCCTCCTCAAATTTAAGCTTATTGTATTTTACTGTATTGACAAAATTTCCCAAAGAATATTAGGTATCCTTTATCTTATTTTTAAGAGGATACTTCTAGCAGAAAGTGGGATCAGTTCCATGCCAGGTGGCTCATATTCCCCTAAGAGAGCCACCACCCTAAGTTATACTGAAGCTAGCTAGGTCCTTGAGACCCATATGATCCCAGGGATTGGCAAAACAATTGGCTAGAGTATGGAAAATAAAATATTAGCATTTCTATTGATATTTTATCTAATTCTTTAAAAATTTATATTTTACATATCTCAGTATTAGTACATCAATATGTAAATGTAATTCATAAATAGTTTACATAACATATTGCAGATTTGTGTTCAATGTTTTTTCTAACTCATATGGATAGGTGATCAAAAGGTCGAGAATTGCTGCTTTATGGCATCCTCACTCCTCTCAACTATGAACCATGTTTTCTTGCCCCAACCTAGCCCATGCCTCTTCCCCACACCCCCATACCTTCTACCAAAATCCCATGGAACCACTGCTTTTCATCAGCATATCCTCTATATTTTCTGATTCCTTCTCCTTCTCTCTCTTAACTAAAAGCAAGTATCACTTGAAGAAATCACTGTATTTGCAGTCCTCTTTAGTAACTTAAAAAAAAAAAATCTATCACATACCTCCTTAGGACTGGCAAGCTGCTATATTATTAAGGAGTTGTAATGTACCTAGCCCAAAGAGTACATTTCCCAGTATTCTCCAAAGCAAAGTATGGCCATGTAACCAACACTAATATTATGTACCCAGAAATAGTTAGGAAAGACTGTTGTAATGTCTCCACAAAAAGGGGAATGACAGCAGGGAAATATCTTGCAGACCCTCTCCCTTTTTTGTTCCCTACTACCTAGAATATAAATACTAGATGACTGAAGCCCTAGTACCTATCTTAGGCTACAAAGCAACCTTGAAAATGGTAACCATGTGCTGGCTGGTAGACTTGAAACTGGAATCAGCTGGGGTCCCTGATGACTTACTGGAATTGGTACACTAGCACAGGGTACTGCCAACATCAGACTTTCTTTAAATTACAGAGTAAATCCTTATTTTACTTACCCATTGTTATTTTGGATTTTCTGCAATAAGAGAGTAAATCAAATTCAAATGTAAACACAGCCCATATTCTCAATTCTTATTGACCCTTGACCTCCAATAATTTTATGTGCTCTCTTTCACTCAGTGGTCATTCTATAATTAAATTGCCATCTCAAACTACTGCCAAAATCAATACATCAAGCACCCACTCTCTAAACATAATCTCTTCTTCCAACATTCAACTGTGTGCATTACTACAGGTTTCCAGTTCATTGGCTTCTTACTACTTCTTCATTACTATCAGTCTTTTCTCCTTTAACTTCTCTCTGCAACTAGCTTTGATGTTACATTTTAAGAACTTTATTTTACTATCTCCTTCTACCTCTAAATTTTTTTATTACATCCCTCTAGCAAAAGCATACTTATACATAAACCCAACTATCCTCTTTCTCTGTACCTGCATCCAAGTAGCAGAGACTGATGACAGACTGTCTTCATTACAAATATCATAATTATCAATCTCAAATGGGCTTGATATTTGCTTTCCCAACATCCCAATTGACTATTTCAAACACACTTTAATCTCTAAGACAACTGTCTTACCCAAACATACATACACATTAGGTAATTTACTCATGATCTAAATGTGCACTGACCAATATTAAAAAATGATAATTTGAAGGATGGTACCAACAGTGTCATCTCCCCACAGGTCTTTCTCTTTTTTTTTTTTCTTTAACCACAGTGGTGAACACTATGTGAGGCCTACCATTCATGGAGCAGAGTAAGCTACTTGATAGATCAATTTTGGGAAGAAATATAGGGAACAACCCAGTCAGTAAAGAAATAAGGTTGATTCCAAGACTGTCCTTGGCTTTAGTGACAGCCATTTCAGGATGTAACCATTAAGCAAACATGCAGATAATTAATACAGCACATACAAATATAAACAATATTTCCACTTCTTGTCCTTTTGAAGTTAACCTAATCCAGATAACTAATAGTTAAACACAGTGTAATAATAATATAGTTTAATTAGCCTCGCCTACATTCATTTCTTTTTTAGTTTGTGTGCATATTTAGTCGTTGCAATTGCAAGGACATTATTATATGGTAATACCTTTAATTGAAGAATTGGATCCTCTCAGCATTAAAAGATTTAGGACAAAAATCGGCCTGCTTTTATATTTCTAAATACCTTATGTTGCAAAGAATTCTTAAGTACAAAAAATTTACCATAAGGTACATTTTCTACTATTAATAAAAAGGAAAATTCCTTGAATTCACTTAAGAAAACTCAGTTTAAGTACACTAAAACATCTTTTTGCCACAGGGATGAAAAAAGGATCTCTTTCATAAAGAACTCTGAGACAAGTAATTCATTCTAGCAGCAGCAATATGATGAAAAATTAATGTCTAACATGGAAAATACCTACAAAAACAGAACAAATAAACATGTAGCTAAAATCATCTATATGAAAATATATTTGATTTATTTCATCAAGGAAATGTGTTTCTTTTTATGAATAAATATTATATTTGATGAGTAATGAAGCATATTTGCAAAAGGATTAAATACTTTCCAACATGACTTTAATTTAATGTGAGACATTTAGAAAACAAACATTTACTAATTCTGAAGGTATGTGTACTCCAGAGTTCCTCAGAATTTGAACATTAACATTCTAACACATCCTTGCTTATCCATAAGAACATAAAACTATGAAATATGCATGATAAAATCATATGCAAAAAGATATAAAAGCAACTATGAGTGAGGCTTTGATAGGTTAAAAAATGTGGCACTCAACAGAATACATATTGATACATAAAAGCAAACTTTATTCCAAAAAATAGAACTGAATCTTATTCTAT